TAACTGCCTGCACCTTAGTCAGCCGGCTGCGCAAAGCACGAGGATTAGTTGGGACCTGCCTTGGTGACCCCATGGCATCCCCCAGGACCGTAACTATCGTGGCCCTATCAGTGGCCTTGGGACTCTTCTTTGTTTTCATGGGGACTATCAAGTTGACCCCCAGGCTCAGCAAGGATGCCTACAGTGAGATGGTAAGTGAAGTAAACGGGTGATGAGGAGCGCACCCCCGTGGGATTGCGAGTACCTCCCCCCTTCTTTCTTTCTCCGTCTCCGGTCCCATTCCCTTAACCTCCACCCCCACCCCGGACCCTCCCTTCTCTCCAACAACTTTGCTGCTGGGAAGGAGCAGCTGGCCAAGAGCGATTTCACGATTTCATTTGTGGGCTATGCCGGCAGCAACTGTTTTGGAGCCACTGAATGCCAGTTGGGGGAGGGGCTGCCCAGAGAGGACCCCCAGCCCCAAGTAAACCAGAAAGCTGAGACCTGCATAGCACAGGTCACTGGCAGGAGCCCTTTCCTCTTCCCAGCACACACCCAAAGTCCGGGCCACCAGTCTTCTCAAGTCTGAGTCCTTTCCTTGGAGCTAAGAGTTTAGCAAACTGGAGAGTTTATTTTAGGGAGGAACAAAGGAAGAAGAGTGGAAGAGCTGGGGAGAATGGGCTACTAAGACCAGCAATTTGTAGGGGCTGGCTAGGTATTCCTCATCCCAGGTGCAGAGCCTGTAGTATTCCTCTAGCCGCCTGTGTAGAATCTGGACCTTGAAGACAAAGCAGTCTTGGCCCAAATAAAGGTCACTGAGCTCCTGCTTCTGTCCCTTCCCTCGAGGGAGAGGCGAATGTTTTGTTTTATTTTGTTTTATGTGTAGGCTAACCTACAATATCAGCAAAGCCTGCCCTTTCTCTTCTGCAAAACGTTTACTCTGCAATCCCCACCTTGCCTCCCTCCTGCCAGGGCCAGGCCCTCTGCAGGTTTTCCCCTCTGCAGAGTTGGAATCACCAAAGGTGACTGGCCGAAACAGCTCTGCAACCTGGGGGCTGGGCTGCTTTCCTCAGTTGGGTGTGATGAGGACTTGCTCTTATGTTGAGGAGTACTAGGAGATGGCAAGGGATGTTTCCAGCACTTTCGGTCTCTCGCCTCTCTTTCTGTCACTTTACCTCCTCATTTCCCTGCCCCAGCTAAAGGGAATCTGCTTCTTGAAACCTTTGCCAGACTGCTAGTAATGGGAGGGAGCACGTTACTGGGCTGTGAAGGTCAACAAGGAAATGAACCTAGGAGAGGAACCTAAGGGAAAGAGAAAAGAGGCAAGAGGGACTCCCTGTTAGGGCTGAGGTAGGGAGGAATTAATTGCTCTCCTAGAGCCCACTGCAGAGCTTCCCAGGACCCCTCAACGTGAGGATGAAGACTGGCAAATTGTAGATGGTTGGAAAATATTTGCAGGCAGCTCTGGCAAGAGCTTTCCATTTCTTCCTTCCCACCCTGGGGTCGGGGAAGGTGGCTGGGACACAAGGGCTTAGGTCTAGCTCCAGTGGCAACTCCTAACGTGTTTCTCCTTTCCCTTTTCCTCCTCCCAGCATGTTTGACCAGATGGAATTGAAATCAGGTCAAAATAAGTGTCCAAGGCAGCCTGCATCGGGAAAGGGGGTAGGATGAAGGTAGCCAAAGCCACCAAAGGGCTTGAAGAGGTTGGAATAGAGGAAAAGGGTGGAGGGGAAATACCACTATGTTTTTATCTTGTCTGTAGTAGTTTAGTGTTGGATTACAAATAAATGGGTGTGTTCTTGCTTTACTTTTCATATGTACATGTATTAATGTATTCGTGTGTATGTGTGCATGATAGGTATTTTTAAGCTTTCCCTTTCCTTAGGGTCATAATACCCTTCTTCTCTATACTCCCTACCCTCCAGAGCTTGCTCAGCTGCTTTAGAGGCCCCCAAGCTGCACCCCAAGTGCAGTGTTAGGCTCTGCAGGCAATCCAACTAAGATGGAGTCACCGGGAAGCTTCCCACCAGCTTGGCAGGAACTCATGAGGAGGACCAGCCACAAATGGAATTTAGAGTAGATTCCTCCTAGGGAGTAGAGCTGTCTGTTGTAGCCTAATGAAAGAAAAAAGAAACACACATGAAGATTTCATATCATGCACAGGGGCATATTTAAATAGTTCTAATCTAATAGAACAGGGCAGAACCCGTGTGTGGTCATAATGCACACACATACTTCTGTGCTTCTGTGCTGAGGGGCATCTGGATGGGATGGAAAAACTGTCTAACTGGGAGGGAGATGTCACCCTGGTATGAAGCTTGAAGAGGATTTTCACCCTGCTGCCTTCCAGGGTCCCCTTCTGCATTGATCATCAGACCATAAGCTAGAGATGACTTTCTGGCATAGGGCCCACCTGCATAGTACCTAGGCTTGGTCCAGCTTTATTCTTGAGCCCATTGGAAATAGGGGCAGGAGCCATTTCAGTTCTGGTGCAAAGAAGGTGCTCGAAATATATTTGTGGAATGGATGGGTGAATGAATGACTCACTGTAGCATTGCCTTGGCTAGTCACCATCGTTCAGATTTTTCTGGTTTGTTCTTGATGATGCAGTTCAAGAGTTATTTCTTAGAAGGGGCAACATGCCCTAAGAGCCCCAATGCTAGATCAGATGGATGATTATCTTAGATTTTCTATTTTCCATTTAGGAGTGATTCATCTGCATTGATGGTGTTAATTATGTTTGGGCTGCAGTAGCATTCTTATAAGAACTCAAAGAGTTGTTTTAAGAGTATTTGTTGTTTAAAGCATTTCTATAGGTAGGTATCTTAATGATAGATAAACTGAAGCACAAGAGTTTAGTGACTTATGACCATAGGGTAAGCTGTTGCTGGAACAGAGAGTAGAAGCCAAGTCTATAGCTCAGTACTCCCAGTAGATACATCATTAACGGTTAAAACTACTGGGTTTTTTGGATGCCACAACCTATAACTAATTCTTGAAACTACCTGGCATATTTTTACTCCTTTTGTACCAGTTTAACTCCCTAGTCTATATTTTGGGGTTTTGTTTTACTTTGGAACCAGTTTTTCAAATTTAGATTTTTTTTTTTTTTGCTTTTCTATTTTTTCTTGTTCTAAAACTACCTGCATTATGCTTTGGTGTTATCCTTTCCATGAAGAATCACTGCTGAAAGCTAAGTAAATCACTATGAACTTTTCTCCTGTCTCTGCTAGAGAAACCAGAATGTTAGTGGAAAGAGTACAGGCTTTAGATTCCTAAAGTCTTGGGTTTGAGTCCTGGCACTCCTGGTGTCTCTGTTTCTCGTAATTTCTACTTCAGAAGGTTGTAAATATTGACTGAGATGGCATATGAAATTGTCTGGGACAGTGCTTGTCCCATAGTAGGTGTTTCAAGAAACACTTTTGGTGAGGTGATGATGGTAATTGATTCTATTTTATGTAGTGGTTTCTACCTAATTTGAATGGTCAATTTAAGGGATTGAAATCAATTATTTAGAGGAACAAGATGCTATTTTTATGTGACCCCCATGTACAGACCTTTATGCAATCAGATATTGAAAAATCTACTTACACAGTGGATTCCATGCAGAATTTGCAGATGAATTTCTGCATAGTCCATTCTGTATGTGTTGTCTCATACCTCCTCCAGAGTAAGCAATTATGATTGTGGAGAACTCTAGATTTCAAGTGAACCTAACACAATTGGCCACTCCCTTGATGAAATGCCTTCATTAGTTCACTTGAATTGGGAGATAGCACTTACAGGTGCTGCTAAGCAGTTTCCTGTGCAGTGACTGAGAACATAAATTTATATTCAGTTTTTTTGTAGCAGTGGTACAAAAGCATAGGAGGCCACATATGGGATGGTAAGAAAACAACAAAATCCTGACACAAAGAAGCCAAAAGATTTTGGCCCTGAGGATGACAGGACAAGTCTAATTTTTTGCATTCCCTCATAGTGAAAGTTTATTGATTTGATTGGTTTAGTTACCTATAGTTGAATGCCTTCCTGTTTGTTTTAACCCTGGGGAAACACTACCAACATGTTTGGGCAGTTTAATATTCACAGGCAATCTTTTTATGTTTCCAATCACTACCATTAATTGTTTTCTAAGTAGGTACTAAGGTAGTAACTCACTGATGCTGTACACTGACTTGTCAGAGGAGGTCCAGTGTATTTATTCCCTTAGAGAGGAAACAGACCCTGAGATGAAAAGACCTTGCTTAGGTCACACAGCCAGCCATCACAAGCTAAGCTACACTTTGAAGCCATGTCAGGGAGCTTGGAGACCCAGAATGGCCAACAGCTGAATTTGTTTCAGAGCAGCTTTGACTAGCAGTAGAAGCCTGACTAAGATGCAATGGGGAAGGGTCCCCTTTGGTTAGTAGGACCAGGTTTGCCAGTGTTCTCTTCAGAAGGGCATTAAATGACAATGGAAGGTGGAGTTGCTTAAAAGATGTTTATCATTCATATGGATATTTGGCAATTAAACATGGGATGAGTTTATTACATTTAGTCAATGTTCTATGATTCATCAGTGGCTTTTTTTTCCCTTAAGAGATTTAGGAAATCCATACATGAGTCAGCAAATTTTGCAACACTTATGTAGGCTTTATGGTCTAAGATAGCAACCAGGCTGAGATTTTTAGCCAAAATATATTTTTGTCAGTGTCCCTCTTTTGCCTTCTTTCTTGCTTGTTTTTTTTATTACATGGTACTAGGGATTGAACTCAGGAAGACTTGCACTCTACCACTTGAGCCATGCCCCCAGTCCTTGTCAGTACTCTCTTCTGCTTTCATAGGATTTTTCTCTATAAGTTTTATTGAAGTAAAACACATATACTGAAACATGTACATAATTGTACAGCTCAAGAAAATTTCAGAATATTCCACTATAAGAATCACACATGACCAGTACCCCAGCAACCTTCCTTCATGCCCTTTCAAGTTACTACCCTCCCAGGGATATTCACTGTCCTGACTTCTAACAACATAAGTTAGTTTTATCCATTTTTAAACTTTAAATAAGTATATAATACAGTACATTAGCCCGATTATTTATTTTCTTTCACCAAATTGGCATAAGTGAACTATAGAGGATCGAACCACTTATACTGTCTTCCCATTTTGTCTTGTTAGCTGACTTAGGTTGGTTATAAATTGTAATCAAAGATGAGTATCATTTGACAGA